TAGAGACGGGGTTTCACCATGTTGACCAGGATGGTCTCGATCTCTTGACCTCGTGATCCACCCGCCTCGGCCTCCCAAAGTGCTGGGATTACAGGCGTGAGCCACCGTGCCCAGCCTTCCTTTTCTTTAAAAGAGGTTTCACCGTATTGGTCAGGCTGGTCTTGAACTCCCGACCTCAGGTGATCTGACCACCTTGGCCTCCTGCTTACAGGCGTGAGCCACCATGCCCGGCCTCAAATTTTCCTTTTTAAAAAACAGTTTTGCTCCAGCCTGGACAGTCATCCCCTGCTCACTGCAACCTCCAACCTCCCAGGCTTATGTGATGTCTCCTGCCTCCACCTCCCAAGTAGCTGGAATTACATATGCCTGCCACCATGCGCAGCTAATTTTTTGCATTTTTAGTAGACTGGTTTCACCAGGTTGATCAGTATTGAACTCTTGACATGATTCACCCACCTCAGCCTGGATTACAGGCAGAGCCATCAAGCCCGGCTAACATTCCTTTTAACAAGCAATATTTATTGGTGACATTTAACATGTGTTTGGATAATTGGAGGCCAACCTCTGGCAAGAAAGATGCAGTGGTGGCAGTTCCCTTGGGAGCAGCTCATGCTGGGATCCCCAAAATAGAGGCACTATTCCATTTGTCTGTACTGGGAAGTGCTTCCATTTTGGGGAGCCCTGTGTGAGTGGGGAATCAGGACCGATCCTGCTTCAAGGCAGCCTGCCAGCCCACCCTGTGGCTCTGACAGCTTCTACTCTGACCAGGAGTTCCCTTGTTTCTGTTCTGTGGTTACCAGTGTATGCTCCTTTTAATAAAAATGGATGTATTCTGGGGTGGGCAGGATCTGGGATTTGACCACAGATGAACAGTAAAGGAAAACCTTGATAGGGCGTTAGGAATCCTGGTTGTTTAAAGGGAATCATTGCCTACCCTGTTCCTGAACTGTTAGCCCATGTGTAAGAGTTCCTGCACCCTGCTACACAGTGCCACTGTCTGACTTTTCCTTTTATTATTATTTCCTAATAAAGAAATAAAATGTGAGCAGCACCATGTTCTGTTTTGAGGCTGGTTTGTTGATTTCAGGTGGGCTCCGCCACCCACAATTGCTGGGATCACAGACCTGAGACTCCTGTCTCTTTCCTTACTGAAGCTTTCTCTGCTACCCAAGTAAATTGCTTCAAACGAAATTGCCTAGAATTGTTTCCCTTCTATCCCTGCTAGATCTTGAAGTTTTAGTAATCCCAGCACTTCAGGAGGCTGAAGGGGCGGATCGCCTGAGCTCAGGAGTTCAAGACTGACCAATATTGCGAAACCCTATCTCTGTTAAATGTTCTGGCACGTGCCTCTGGTCAGTGCACCCAGCAGGCTGAACCCAGGAGGGAGAAGGCTGCAGTCACTAGAGTGCCTCTACAGAGCAAGACCCCATCTCAAAAACAAAAAGCTCTGGAGGTGGATGGTGATGGGATTTTTTAAATTAAACTCCCACCCACACTGCTCCAGGTGGCCTTGACCTCCCTGGCTCCAAAGATCCTCCTGCATAAGCACCCTCACGCCACCCTTAGCTGGCAGCACAGCAGTGTGCCCCCATGCTCTTGAGAATATTGGCTCTCATTCATTGGCCAACTTTGAACCTTCTAGTTATCAGTCATCCCCCCTTTACAGATGGGACTTGACCATCTTGCCAGGGCGGATGGCCTCCCTGACATGACGGGTTACCACGGCACCAGGCGTAACTTCATTTTTAGTAGGGTTTTTTATGAGACAGTCTTGCTCTGTCACCCAGGCTTGCCTTCCAAGTAGCTTCAACCTCTGTCTCCTGGACCAGCAAGTCTCCTGCCTCAGCCTCTACAGCAGCTGGGATTTCAGCCACAAGCCACAATGCCCGGCTAATTTTTTAATTTTTAGTGGATGGGGTTTTTACCAGACTGGTCTGAAACTCCTGACCTCAGGTGATCGCTCATCTAGGATTATAAGCATGAGCCTCCCTATCATCGGTTCCAGGGCTGCTGGTCATGGTCCCATGGGGGTGTTCCCAAACCCCTGCAGCTGCTTTGCCCATTCCACACAGTATCTGAAGTTGAAGTAAGCTCTGATATTCAAGGGACTTTTGTTTGGCTATTTGCCTCTTCAATTCATAAAGCTGTGTCCTAGTTGGAGGGAAGTCCTCTACGATAACGAATAAAACTTCCCCCTTGTTTGACCCACCTGGGCCTGTCATTCTATGGCAAACCTGGGAATTGAGGGTTCTTTTTTTTTTTTTTTTTTGGTGAGGCTGAGTCTCTGTCACCCAGGCTGGAGTGCAATGGTGCGATCTCTGCTCACTGCAACCTCTGCCTCCTGGGTTCAAGACATTCTGCCTCAGCATCCTGAGTAGTTGGGAGTACAGACCTCCACCATCACATCTGGCTAATTTTTGTATTTCTAGTAGAGCTGGGCAACATGTTGGTAAGGCTGGTCTAGAACTTACCTCAGGTGATCCGCCCACCTTTGCCTCCCTGTGATCCAATTACCTTTCAGTTTCTTAAGCTTGTTAGGGTTTGGCCTATACGGCTGGCAGGGAGTGGGTGGGGGTGGTTTGTAGCCATGGCTGTTTGCTTCAGAAACAGCCATAAAAACAGGATTGAATGCAGGCACATAAAGGATATTGGGTAGATAACTTTTTACTTTGTATTTTTTTTAAAGATGGGGTTTCACCATGATGGCCAGGCTGGTCTTGAATTCCTGACCTCAGGTGATCACCCCACCTCAGCCTCCTAAAGTGCTAGGACTACAGGCGTGTGCCACCGCGCCCGGCTAACTTTTTGAGACAGTCTCACCTTTTCTCCAGGCGTCAGGCTGGAGTGCAGTGGCGTGGTCTCGGCTCACTGCAGCCTCAGCCTCCCAATGAGCTGGGACTACAGGCTGGAGCCACCAAGCCCAGCTAATTTTTGTATTTTAGTGGAGACAGGGGTTTCACTGTTGCCCAGGATGGTCTCGACCTCTGGACCTCGTGATCCGCCCACCTCGGCCTCCCAAAGTGCTGGAATGACAGGCATGCCCACCTCACCCGGTGGGTTCTGTGTATAATAGCTTATGGTCACCCTACGTGTGGCCTTGGAAGTGTCAGTTCTTGGAGGGGCCCAGTGAATTCCAGGCAAGGGGCCATCCTGGCTTGCCTGCCAAGTTAAGATTTCAGGCATTCTCTCCTCCAGCAAGGGAGGATCAGGGCTGTTGGCGAAATAAGCATTCATTTTTTTTTTTTTTTTTTT